CCAGATGATCTTTAAGGTCCCTTGCAACCCAAATTATTCGATGATTGTGTGATATACAAAGCTTTTCTCCTGCTCTAGCACTTTATATAATCGCTGGGGTAAAAGTAACTGCTGGAAGCTTTTTTTGTCACTGTGATTAGCAACAAAGATGTCTTTGAGTGGAAATTTACTGTGGAGGTCTTATGTTACTTCTCTCTCCCTGTTCTCAAATTTTAATGCAGTTTTTTAACTGAAAAGGGCTTTTAATATCTCTTTCACTATTTCATTTTTATTGCTTTGGAACAATAAACTTTAACCTGTTATTGAGTGTAGAGGAAGGGTGGGTCTCCCTGCCACAAGGAGTTTATAGCTGAACTTGAAATAAGTGATGTGTAGCCAAGGAGTAAGAGCAAAGTATGTGGTTTCACAGCATCTTGCATACCAGCAAGTTTTTGCTGTGCTGCAGCGTGGCAGTTGATTGAAGGAGGAAACTGTCAAAGCCCTGGCAAATACAGCTGTACCTCAGTAAAATTAAAAGGGAGAAAAGAAAAAGGGGAAGGGGAGGTGGGGGAGGTCGGAGGGGGAAAACTACCTTAAGTTTTAATGTCTCACTTGTTGCTAGGTGTACCCTAGCTGATTATCAGGAACAAGCATGTAGTAGTGGAGCTGACTGGGTGGTGTTGGGGGAGCCCCTATGCTTCAGCTAGGCTGTGTCCATGACCATATTTAGGCACATAGAGCACAGAAGGTTGGGCTTTTTCAAGCAGTGTCAGTTCCGATGTACCAGGAACAGGAAGAGTAGTCTGGGGCATGTGCAGTCGCTGTATGTAACTTCTTTAAAATAAAACAAACTTTAGAATGTCTCAGACTGGACAAGACTGAAAAAGAAGTAGGATTTCTCTGTCTATCTGGTGGATGTCATGCTTCGAGAGAAATTGGATTGTGCAATAAAGGCAGAAGCATGAAAACAAGGTGGATTTAGCATAACTGACCACCTTTCTGTATATTGCTACCTCTGTGCTTGTGTAATCTGAAAACCGCAAATACTGTAGTAACTGAGTGTAAGCATTTGTTGATAGACCAGGTGTTTTAATTTCTAGCAGAATGAACTCAGACTGAGTTTTTACCTTATTTGAAATAGCTTATAAACTCAAAAAGCTTGTAACTGATGTGATGGGAAGCGTTTGGCATCACTTGAGAAAGTAAATCTCACTAGTTCTTACGTACTTGTATCAGACTTCCATTGAAGTGAGACTGTGACTGGTGTAAACGTGAAAATCAGATAAAGAGAAACCCTACAGTGGGGAATGCTTCTCTTCTCAAATGCTCAGAGATATTTTTTTTTTCATTTTACAACTTCCTCTCAGCTTCTGTATGATTTGTCCAAATTAATGCGCAAACCTGGATGAAGTCACATTTCATTAAAATGTATTTAGATTAATTTTATGCTTTAAAGGAATTTAATGTAGTAAATGTGCAATTGTTATGGTAAAGGTTGTTAGCAAGACCTGGTTTTTGTGAGCCACTGTTGATCAAATGTTCTGGATTACTGAACTCTGAATTTTATAGTTTCTTGTAAGCAGCTCTGCAGACATTTAACTGAAAATGGTGTCTGTAAATCAAATCTTGGAAACTACATCAATAAAACACTATCTTAAAATTTAGGTGGTGTTTTGGGAGTAACTACAGTAATAATAAGTGGAGAAACTTCAGGTGTTTTCTCAGTCTTTTGAGTTTTTAAAGGAATACTCAACTGTAACCTTTTCTGTTACTTGCTGATACATTTCATAAGGTTTTCGTACTGTGTGCGAAGGTGCATTTCTCTTTACTGAAAAGTTTTTGTCATTTAGACTTTCAAAATATTGTTTCTGTTTTGACTTGCTCAGGTCTGTTCTAATCAGTTTTTAAGTCTTATTGTATTGAATAACCAACATTGGTTTCAACTGTAATGCATCTTATTGATGTGTTTTCTTGAACATGTGTGTTCTTCAACAGTTCTCAGCAAAAAAAATTTCCTATCTCAACTTGACTTTATTGCAGTTGAGTTTTTTGCCTGTCACTTCATATTAAAAGTAATTTGCCTGTTCTTATATGTGCATTTAAAAATCTTTTGTTTTACTTGCCGACAAACACCACATTTTATGTGGACTGTCCCTTTATTTAAAAATGTGCTCTCTCAAGTGATAGCTGAGCCAGTGGCTTTTGACAGCCAAAAGGGGGAGATCTTCATCTCATTGAGGCTCATGAAAATGTGTTCATTTATCCTTCAGTATCAGTCTGCGTTTGGAAAACAGAAGCCTCTTTTAGAGCATTTATTTCTGGAAAAAATCAGTGGCAATAAAGGAGCTGTAAATGCTTTTCATTTCTTGTGTGTAAATGAGACTACTAGATTTAATTCTTAGGTGTGCTTTTTATACTGTATGAGTTGGGGAAATAAGGCTTTTTCAGATACTCATCTCCACAGGTAAGTTAATTTGCTTTAACTGCTGAAATGGATTAGCTTTAAATGGGCGTCACAAAGGCAGGTTAGCAAAATGCAGAGTGCCTTAGCTGACAGGACAGCTTCTGAAGACCTGCTAGGTTTTTTGATTATGTAAGCATGAGTATACTGATAAGGAATTCATTCCTAATTTGCATGTTTATTTGTCCTATAAGAAGTGGCAAGGATGGTGAATTATCATACTGAAAAAAAAAAATCTCATTGAGAATTAAATTTACTAGTAAAATCATAGGATGGTTTGGGTTGGAAGGGACCTTAAGATCATTGAATTCTGGTTAGTCTGTCCTGAGGAAACATCTGTTACTCTTAGCTATATTATGAGTAATATCCATTCAGAAGTATTAATCTGACTCATAAGAATAGTTCTTACTGATAGCAAAAAAGAAGCAAAACCCAGTTTTACATTACCAAAACAGCTGAAAAATAAAGCATTATTCTAGTTGTAGTAGAGACTTAATATCTCACCTAACAGATATTACTGGTTTAGTGGTAATGAATAATAACGATATGATATGAATGGTAATAAATGAGTAATAAATAATGACCAGTGTAATGATTATTCAGAGGGCAGTTTGGGCACCCATGTTTTGCTTAATTTTGCTCATTTAGCTGCTGCCCACCCCAAAACTGATGGTCCTTTTATTTCAGAACTTAGAGCCTGTCTTCCCCTTCTCCTTCATGAGTTATATTCTCCTTCACAGTACTGTAGGTTAGCTGTATTTCATTGCCTTTAGATTTCTTTGGTGTGAGCACTAAGCTGTGTATGCTGTTTTTAGTAGGAGAGGTATAAAGTGTGTACCTAGGAAACATGCAGGTTGGTGGTTGGAGTAATCTAGCTAAGGCAGATGAGTTCACATTCCTTTGGGTCAAAGCAGGGAATCCAAATCATGTTTTTTTCTTATCTGGGCAGGTGTTTTAATAAGCTGTTACAGAAGAAGATGCTCTTGCGCCTCTGTGTCTCTTGTGAGAAGAGTAAACACTGTGGCATTTATCTCAGTATAATGCCAATTTCTGTTTACATGGAAAGAGTTCTGAATTTGAGGTATTTGAGGCAGCAGATAAAGGCTGTCTGCAATCCAGAATGCAGCATTCAGTTTAGAAAGTTGGGAGCTGACAACTTTTTCATTTCCATTAGCCAGCTCTAAGTGGCCATGTGCTGACTTCAGGTGAGCGGCAAGCTGCCTAGGCTAGTCATTTGGGATCTCATTGAGGTTTGAACACTGCTAATGCCACAGTGAATCTTGGGCTCTGTTAAGAACCAGGGGCCAGAACACTGTATTTCTACCCTCAGCTGTCAGTTCAAGAGCTCTAGCATGCTCAGGTAGTTCTTCTGTAGTTTAAAATAAATATAAAAAAGTAAACATGAAGTATTCTTTGGGTATTTTTAGGTATTTGTTGATGGAGTATGTGCCTCTCAAATAGTTTAATTTTGAGCAGGAAGCCCAGAGAGTACAGACACTAATATTCCAACTGTTTATTTCATAAAAACATAACTGGCAATGTCAGAAATGGGAACTGTGGTTCAGTTGGTATCCTGTATTTGAATATTCAAGGGTGCAAGAGAGCTTTGAATGTCTCCAGAATTTAGATAACTGTAATGTGAAGGCTAGGAACTTCGTAAAGTTAAGTTAGGAAATCAACACTTCTTTTATGACAGATGCCCTTAACAGTGTAAGGGGGAAAGAAGAATGAATGAAAGTGAATCTGCTGAGTGACATTGTGCAAGTAAGGTAATAGTTGAGAAGTTTTAAGGTGCTTCACATGGAAGGAAAAAAAGAATACCATTTTTATGTTCCTTTTGCAAGCACATGTGTCTGCAGCTGTGCAACAAACAGTCCTGGGAACCAGCCTGGAAAACTAAATTCACTGTGCTTGGGCAAGCGGAAGGAGGGAGAAAGCCTGGGCAGGTGCACACACTTTTAGTGAGAGTATTGGCTTGTGCTGTGTTTTGTCTGCAAAAGGTTGTGGCTGAAGGCAATTGTTGAAGGACTCTTAACCTTACCTAGGTACTGTGGTACCAAGAGACCTTACAGGTAGACACAGGTGAAATTACATGCTTTGCTGCCTATGAAAGTGTTTTTAAGCTCATGTAATCTACTGATTACTGTCTGGCTGTGGGCCTTCCAAAAGTTTAGAACCATAGGAAAGTATAATAAAATCTGAGGGGAAGCCTTGAAGATTGAATGTATCTTTGTTGTGGTTTTTGTGTGTTGACTATCAGGCATCTATGGATTGGAAGTTGAAATAAATTGTGAGTTATATTAATCTCTTTCTTTTTGCCAGTAATAGAAACCATGAGTGACTCAATTTCCTGTATCTGCTTTCGTCACATATAATCTCTATACTGTTTGAAGAGGTGAAACTTTATATTCTGTGTTTCTAACAAAGACAGAGTAGTTTAAATAATGTGAACAAATACACGAATCAGTAGAGTTGCATAATTTCATGTCTGGAATTCCTGTTGATTGGAATAGGAATGAATGCAAGTATGTACAACCACATAACTGTTTTTGTATTTCAGGTGCGTATAGCAGCAAAATTCATAATTCATGCTCCTCCTGGGGAATTCAATGAGGTGTTCAATGGTGAGTATCTCTCCGCTCTGTCTTTTCATTTAAAGCATCTATAGCCAGAATTGTATTGCCAGTTACTCTCCTGAATTTTATGTAGCTTATATTTTAGCAGCTCACTTGCTGTAAGAGCTGGATTTGTAGCTTGGCATAGTAAGCTTTGCAGTCACAAGACAGAATTTAAGTGGAAAAAGGATGAAAATACCACTTTTCTCAGTGATGTGAGAATGAGCTTGCTTTCTGTTTTTTACTCAGTCATGAATTAACAGTCACTAGGGGTTTTGTTTAGGAGAGACATACTCTTTCTTTACTTTTCAGTTTTTAATAGACAATTACATTTTCCAACAGAAAGTAGCTGGAATTGAAATGGTCTTTTATATCTAAGGAGGAATATAATGACAAATACTTAACACTGAATATACAGAGGGCTACTGCCTAATGCCAGTTGTGAAAAGAATATTAATTTTCTTCAGACATTTTTAACCCTTAAATTCTGAACACATTTCACTTACTGAGTGTACTGATAAAGTGAAAGGAAATTTGAAATTGGCTTCTCTCAACTTGTTCCCTGAACTTTACCTAAGATGTTATTTTTCTTTAAAAAATACTGTGTTTGTCTTGCATCAAGGTATGTGGGCATACATATCACATAAAGCATGTGGTTTGTAGCTGTAGCTTACAAATCTCTCTACTGTTATTTAAGCAAAGAAGGAAGTTTTAGTATCCTAAACTTTTAGTCAGTGTCAGGCTGGTGAGAGCTTAAATTTGTTAGAGAATGTAAAAGTTTTGTTCTTCAGTTAAACTGTGACCAGCTGATTATTATTTAAACTTGCTGCATTTGTGAAATGGGCAATTGATGGGCTGCCCATTAAACCAGCTCCCTGAAAGTTAATACAGTTCCTCACAGCAGTAATGCTATAAACTTTATTGTTAAGCTAGTTTATAGTTGCAGCTACCTGCTCAGTAACTGAGTACAGTATGTTTGAAAACACATAACAACGCATTTGATAATAAATGCCTGACCAGTGCTCAATGCGATTCAAACTGACTTCTTAAAAAAAGATATAAAGCTTTAAACTCCAGCCCTTCAAACTGTGTTTTCATTTGGTTTGGCTTAGGGTTTTCTTGACTTTGTGAGGTGGTTGCTTTCATTTGGGATGTTTTGTTGTTTTGTGTTTTGGTTTAGGTAATACTTCAAGTATATTTCAGATATTGATTTTACTTGTATGATACGTTGTGAATCTTTAGAATTTAAAATGTTATATCAAGACTAATGATCAGCTAATGATCAGTGCATTACCTTGTTATTAAAATAGTACCTAGTAAATAGTAAGCCAGTAAGTCAAGTACATAAAAAACGATTTACTGCCTAGTAAATAGAAAGTCATTCTGAGGAGAGTATTGACTTTATTCTATATTCATGTGTTTCTTGTATGATGATAGAAGAAATGGTGTTATGATATATTGTACTCTGGCTACTGAGGAACAAAGAAAAATGATAAGGCTTAAAAATTAGTAAGTACAACACATATATTAATGTTGTCAAAATACAGTAATCACTACAATCAGTATAGTGTGAAGGATTTGGTAGTTTACGTTTTAAAAGTGAACTTGTGAATCCTGTGCTGTTCTCGTTCAGAACTTCTCTAAAAGGTAGTCCGACAGATTCCTACAGCTGTCACACAGACTGAAGAATGGGGCTTATATATGCTTACCAGATTGTGTTGGAAGGGATCCATTTCCCTACTACTCTTCTAATTTTGTTGAGTCAAAATTATGAAATATGAAGCAATAAATTTCATACTTAGTAATCTTATGGGTGTGGGGTGGTTTATGGTTTGTGTTTGTACAATCTGTTGACATTTGCTATGTGACTGAAACAAGTTTCTGAGTTAACTGTACTTTATATTGTAAATACCTTCTTTCAGATGTTCGGTTGCTGCTTAATAATGACAATCTTCTCAGGGAAGGAGCAGCCCAGTAAGTACCAGATGCCACATATTCAGTTGCCTAAAAGCAAGATGTTTTTCAGTAAGATTTTCACTGTCAGTAAGAAATTCATTTAAAAAGATGAGTGCTTGGCAAGTAAAACTTTGTGTTGTACGTCTTTGATGAAGATTAAATTCTTGGCAGAGGAGAGATCTGTACTGTATCCTAATATTTAGAACATCATTTTGGAAATGGGTGACCTGGATTTTGGACCTAGTCTCCATCTGTTTGGATTTCATTTTCTGTTTCTTGGTACCAAGCGTTCAGTGTTAGGCACTGAACATCTGTAAGATACTGCTTCCTCAGACCCTTCTATATCAAAACATTACACTTACTGTATTTTATGCCAAAATTAGTTTCATCTATAAGAACAGACATGTCCCTCTTAGTAGGTTAGATCCCTGTGGATTTTAAACTTAATCTGTTGCTCCAGTTTCTATATGTTCCTGTAAAGCCTATGTGTTTGTTTATATCGGGTTACTTGTGAACATAAATCATTGTGTGATGGTCATTGGAATCTGTAATTTGAACCAAAGTGATTCTAAGAGTTTGGGCCTGCTATATAACAAAGTATTGATACCATTTTTTGATGCATCATTGCCCAGGTTATTAGATATTATTTAGATATCTTACAGCTCCTAAGGAAAAAGATTGTGCTTGACGCAGGCATTTGGTGTTGATTTTTTTTCCTTTTGCAGTGCATTTGCACAGTACAACTTGGACCAGTTTACTCCAGTAAAAATTGACGGTTACGACGAACAGGTATGAATACAATGAAATCCTTGCCATGTTCCTTAAGCTGTTCAAGATGTTCTGGTATTGGAACATATCTTGGCGAGAAAATGAAAAGAAATGCATCTTTCCTGCCAAAATACAGAGACTGTGGACCTCCAATAGTACTAGTTCCATAAGTTTATCATTTAGGGCATCTGAAGAGCTTGAAATTTCAGTCTGTGGTGTTGGCTTGAATTCATTCAGACATCATTTGGAGTTGTTGAAACAACTTGCTCCATCTCTGATACTAGAAAACCTGAATTTCTGTATTTCATTGTTTGTTGCAGTAAGAGGGTACGATTCAGGATGTTTCCGAATCAGTGTCATGTTAGACTTGCCCTCTTGTTCTATATGCATAGTTTATATGTAAATATATATATATATGTATGTGAGTCTTTGGCTCCAGTTAAGTGTAGGATATAATTAGATTTGGTGTGGGATTTTGTTTTTCCTCTTTTTTCCCAGTAGTAAATGATATTAAATAAAATTTTACAATACAGGTTTTGATAACAGAACATGGTGATTTGGGAAATGGAAAGTTTTTGGATCCCAAGAACAAGATTTCTTTTAAATTTGATCACTTAAGAAAGGAGGCTACTGATCCCAGACCCCATGAAGTTGAAAATGCCATAGAATCCTGGAGGAATTCAGTTGAAACAGCAATGAAAGCATATGTGAAAGAACACTACCCAAATGGTGTCTGCACAGTAAGTACTAAATTATATAACCATTGTACCACTATAGACAGAAATCTAAAAAAAAATAAAAAAACTGAAACTGAAAACCAGGAAGATGTGTAGTTCCAACAGTAAAGACAGCAAAGAATTTAGTCCTGTCAAGAGTTCATGTAGGGAAATGAGGGAAAACTTCCGATATTTCAGCTATTGGATTACTAGTGGAGTAGTTACTGCAGGTGATAGTGATGACTTACTTCTCAGTGCTTAAGACCTTCTGTAGACTGTTGCAGATTGATCTCCATTGATCCTGGCTGGTTACTTACAAAATAAAAAATCCGTAAGACTTGCCTTGCCTTAACCTGACAGAAAAAACTGTCAGCAAAGCAAACTGTTTTCTTTCCATGACACTTCCTGTATATCAAAGTACTATATTCTTACCACCAGAATCAGCAGGTTTTGATGGCTTCTTAAAATAAAACTTCTCAGTCTGGCCTAAACAGTACTCATTTGCTGTTAAGGAGCCCTGTGACTAAAGCTCAGCAAACTGATCTAGTAATAGCTGTGGTTTGTATTAACCTGATGGAAAAATTAACTACAGAAAAAAAACCCAAAACCATCAGTTGCGGAGTTAAAACATTGAATTCAGTTCCAGGCAATCCAGATGAGTTCCAGCTTCTGTTAAGGAAACCAGATTGCATGTTCACTGAGATAATTTTTAGTAGTATCTGATTTTAGGGGATAAGCAGAACAGAAGACCAGACCCACCCTTTTAATCACCTTTTGGTAGTCCGTAAAGGCTTAAATGATCATTTAGTTGTAGAATAACTGATATCCAAAACCCTGCTGGTAAAGCATGTAGTCACACCAGTCACTGCTGTAGGCTTAAAATGCCTATAATGTAGAAAAATGAGTTTGCAGAATATAAAATTTCAGTTAAGATGCTTGACCTTCGGTTTTATTATCTTACATTTTTCTGCATTGTAATACACACTTTAATGTTTCATGTATAAAATACTATGTAAAAACCACAATGGTTCTAAAATTAAATTTTACCATTTATATAACAATAAGAGAACAAGATACCTCTAAGCAGTTAGAGCAAGACAGATGCTGAAACTTAACTCTTTTTTGTTGTTGTTGGGGTTTTGTTTTGTTTGTTTTCATTTCTAATTCAGGTCTATGGTAAAACAATTGATGGACAGCAGACCATTATTGCATGCATAGAGAGCCATCAGTTCCAAGCAAAAAATTTTTGGTAAGTTTCTGTATGGATACAAATACAGTAAAATATAGCAAATGGAATAACTGTGCTAGTGCCATTACACTGGTAACCCTTAGTTCAGAGAAGGAGGTGCTGGCACATCTTGCATGTGACATTTTTTTCTCCTTTCACCCCAAGTTGGTCTGCCAAAACTATATATATATATATATCTTTGTGGTAAGTAAAGTGGCAGGCTACATGGCTGCATCTCCTTCGAAGAGCTTTGTGAACTTCATAGAATTCCGTATGATTCTTCCAGTTTATCACAGCAGCACTGATATCCATGTCTCTGTTCCCTAATACAGTTGCTTCTGCTAGTGTTGTTTCCTTTGTGACTGATAGTATAAATCCAGCTCCTCCTACTTTGAGTATCTTGCAGAAAGGTGACCAAAGATTAATGTACTGTCAGACTTGAGTTGTTAATTTTTTGGTGAGGAAGATGAAAGTGGTCTCGGATGGAATGAGCTCTTATAAATTGCCACTTGATTTTCTTGTTTCTTAACTTGGTTAAAAGATGTTTTTCAGAGTCTGGAGTGAACTTTGGGTAGCTCCTTGCAGTAAACTGGACAGAGACAAGAGAGGTATCACAGTATCAGAAATGAGATAAGGAAGTATCTCTGAAAGATAGCTAATATACACAGTTTTATGAAGAAATGGATTTCATTATTTTGTTTGCCATTTTGTATCTACTTGAAATCCTGTTAATGTAAGTAAGTGCAGAAATACTGTTTTCTGATGCTGAAGGAGAATATTATATCTGTATAGTAATTTGAGCATGTGTCTGTTCTGATTTGCCCAGTACACTCTTTGCACAGTTAATAATTTCTTCCACTGACTTAAACTTGACTAGTTGAGTTTTACATCAATATTAAAAGTTGATGTAAATCAATTTAATATTGATTACATTGATATTAAAAGTAACTTGAAGTAACACTGAGTTTTCTTTTTAGGTCAGAAGTACAAGTAAATTCTGGTATTCCAAATACTTACTTTAATATGTAGTCTTTAAAGAAGAGAAACAGATATGCAACAACTGTTTATAGATGGAAAAAATCTTTCTTGAAAGTTTTCATTAATAAAGTATGGTCAAACATGCGTGAGTAAATGTTGACCATGTTAAGACTTTTATAGGGGGATAATCAGGCTATAATTCTCACTCTTAGCAAATTTTAATAAATTTATATTGGTTTGAGGGATTTAGGGATGGAAGGAGGAATGTTAACCAAGGTTAAGCAGACGTCACGGTTACCCACCTGGATGTCTGAGTATCCAGCCCAGGCCACAGCCAGTGTTTATTCTCAAGGTGTCGCAGGTTTTTAGGCATTCGGAAGGCTGGCAACCTACCACAAAACCAAGTTTGTGGGATGGCAGAAAATCAATACAGACCAAAGAAAAACATTCCAAGATTTCTGAAATACTATCAGCATAGTAGGAGAGATGGTTTGTTAAAAAATGTGAAAGAAAAGGAAGGGCAGTTAATCTCTTACAAAACCTCTTAAGTCAGCAGAGCTAAATAATGATGCGTTGTCTTTAACTTAGAGCATTTCCTGCAGGAGGATCCTTCTGAACTTCAACGCTTTTTATTGTAATAGCATCTTAAGGACAAAAGAAGATATCCCAGAGTAGAAGCATTGTGTTCATCTTGGCTTTAAGGACTACAAAGTGACTAAGAAGCAAAAAAAAAAAAGAAAGTGGTAGCTAGTCATTGAATCCTGTGCATCTATAAAATTAGTTCAGCACGTAAGCTTTCTTATAATTAATGAGCCAGTCTGTAAGGCTACCAGTAATATTAGTATCACTAAGTTAGGGGTCCCTTTCAGTTTCTTACAGATTCCAACAAGCTGCTTCTGAATTGCCTTAGTCTGAATTTTCAGTGATAATCTATAGTTTAGATATTGTCTGAAATAATTATTAATGGCTTTATTATTGAGTTAGCATTGTTAGTATCAGGGATGTGTTAATATAGATCTATTAGTAGCTGTTAATCTTAAAGTCTCTCTTTCCTTCCCCTTGTTGAATGCACTGGAATCTACACCTAACCGTAGTAGGACTGGAACTCATAGTTTCAACTTTTTTTCCTTCTTTAAGTGCAAACAAAAGAGGAATCAAGAGACAGCCACAATGCATTCTTAATATAGCTTTAATGTACTAACCTTTTAATTCACTAACCTCATAACTAAAAAATAAAATGTCTAGTCTACAGGAAAGAAATCAGGTGAAACTACACTCCCCATACTCTTTTCCAGATGTTTGAAACTCCCTTTAAGCAATTTGGCAAGGATGCTGAATTTGTGGAAGGAAACTGGAAGGAAATAGTTGTCCTGGAACAGAAATGCTAGAGGTGCTGAAAGGCCTAGTTACAGTTCAGCATAGTGGAAAGTTTTTCTACTTTAAGGTTCCTTCCATTCAAGCTTTTCATAGCCTGATGTGAAGTGTGACTTCCGCTGATCCAGCAAGCCATCCAGGTCCCAGGAACAAAATACTAACTGTAATATGCCTAACTAATTATAAAGGAGGGGAAGAACATTGGAGGCTTTAGGTATTTTCAGAAGTTAATTCCTTGTTAAAAGGTCCTTGCTAATAAATCTCCTTGGTCCGCATCCAAAACTTAGGTTAAATATTTTGGGAAACTCTTCTCAACTTACTATAGGGCTGAATCTTCAAGGAGAGATTTTGTGCATGTGTGCACAGCGTATTTCATTCTGTTTTCTTTTGACTATCATTACGTTGGGTCGTCTTCTTAACCAGTGGGGTGACATCTGATTTCCGTTTTATTTTCTTTAAAGGAATGGCCGTTGGAGGTCAGAATGGAAGTTTACAATCACCCCTTCAACCACTCAAGTGGCTGGCATCTTGAAAATTCAGGTATGCTTATCTCAGACTGTGTCCTGATCAGTAAACTCTCCAGTTATTATCAAGGGAGATTCAGGCCAGTGTATTAAATATTCTAAGAGAATTTGGGGACCCACTAAGCAAAGCAGAGATGGCCATTCACTTAAGTGTTAGTGAATTCAATTGCATATTTACCTAATCTTACAAACGGAAGAATATGTGTTTAATGATTTAGAAGACTTTCAGAAGGTGTATTCAACTCAGCTAGGCATGTACCTCTTTGGTTTCTTGCTTCTTGAATTCAAAGTGGCACAAGCCTTTCCTAAGGGTATGCTCTTTTTTAAAGTACAACTTTTTTTCTTCTTTAACTGATAATAGCAGGATTTGGTGTGTTTTTTTCATGTTACCCACCCAACTGCTCAGAAAGGTGGGAATCTTTGGTTTCAGTCATTCCACCATCTGCAGTTTTTGAATCAGGGTCTGCTTCATTCAGAATTTGCCCTTACTGGTGGCATTAGGGCATTCATACTGCCTGAGCAGGAATGCAGAAATCTTGAGACCAAAGGAAGCCTGACTTGTCATGTGATCAGCAGGGGGACTTGACTTCCTGGATTGCTTCCTTGGAATGTGTTTGCATATTTTCCAGGAGTTTATTAAAACAATTCTGGAACCAGGGACTAGGATCTAAGTGCAGCCTGGCTTTTAGCACAGTACTTCATTCAAGTTCCATTTTCCTGCTCTTTCTGTGCCCGCATGAGTTTTGCACTTCCTTACTGGTCAGTGAATTGACTGCAGAAGGAAGATACGATGCATGTCTTTCTAGCCATACCCTGAGGCGAGGATGTTACTTTAGGATGTGGTAGGTAGCTGTGTTCAGATGCACCCAAGCAATGGCCTGAATCTGGTTTCCCTTTCTGGGGCTAGAATGATAGTCAAAATATGGACAACCATTATTGTTGTCTGATCAAGGTCATGGTAAGCATCTTAAGTAACTTTTAGGCTTCTCAAGAGTTTTGGAGGATGTAAGTAAACTGTCATTCAAATCCAGCTGGCAGCAAAGCATTTTCTCCACAGCATGCACTTCTGGTTAAATGTTTTAGGAGATTTTTCAGAACAAGCAGGAAGATGTCTACCTAATTCTGGGAAGGTTAGCCCAGTAGCCTAGAAAATAGCCTGATTAGGGATTTTAGGCAGATTTTAATAAGCATCTTGATTTGGGCACCAGCTAATTTTGTCTTTTATTACTGTTTCACATAATTAAGGCATTCCTTACATCTGTTAAAGTCTGTGTTCTGGAAAGTGATGAAAAGTTTCACTTTTTTGCTTGCACAGGAGCTACTTGTTTCACCAAGGAATTTTGAAGTCAGTTTCAATTTCTTTAGAAATTGTGTACCATTTCTTCAGCGCTTGTGGGAGTGCTCCCCTTACCCCCTCCAAATAAAGTGCCTTTTTTTGTTGTTGTTAAGGAGGAAAATAATCCTCTAGAATATGAACTCACTGCAACATTAGCAAAATTTCGGAGGATGAAGTTTGTGTTATGTGCAATACAGCCATTGCCCTATTTGACAGCAATACAGGCATTGCTCTGTTTCTGATAAGAGCTTTTAAAAATAAGTTGGGGCAGATTCCACCATTGCCTGCTATCTTCAGGTGTTTTCAGTATTTTTAAGGTCACTTGCACAATTTCTTCCCTTTGAAAAAATTATCTATTAATAAATTCTAATATAGGATATTCTCAACTGTCTTAATCTCTTACATTGATTAATTTTCTTTTAATTATATTTAAAGGTAAAACTGCAATAGCAGAGCTTTTTACTAAAACCAAGTCCCTGTGGTGCTTGGACATTCTCCAACTGTGCATGGAAAAAAACTGATAAGTGTACTGGTTACTAATTTTATCTCTTAGATAATTTGTTATTCTCATCCCTCCTTAGTTAACCTTTCCAAGAGGTTCTGTTCATAAACATCATCCTTCTTGTAGCCTTCTGAACCCAGCCCTAGCATTCTAGAAGGATGTCAGGAGTGAGGTATAGTACAGAACAGTTACTTGTCGTATTTTGTGTAGGATATAACACGTCCCGGAATAGATTTGACTCTTCATCCTTGTTAAGTTTTTAGGCCTGAACATTTGCCAGGAATGTGACTTCGTAAGATAGATAAGATGTTCATGCTGATGCTGGCCTCAGAGCACAGGGGTGGTTTGGGCCCTCTGCAGTGGACTGTGACAGAGAAGAGGGGAGATTCATACTTCTCTGTGTTCTGCTGTTTCACTGGGAGGTCTCAGAATTTTGCACTGAGAAAGTACTTTTCATCTTTTAGGAACTGGATTGAAAAAGGCCTGGCAGAAGTTTCACCCAGTAGTATTTGATTTGAAAATAAGCTTATTTTATCGTTAGGATGGTATCTTTTGTTGAAAAACAAGTATTTGATAATAAGCAAAATAATAATGTAAGATGAATCATAGGAAATTTTTTTTTCATATAGGAAACCTTTCTTTTGCTTAGGTGTTACACCTGTCTTACTCTGTTTCCTCTATTGTTGTTTATAAATTGGCAATCTCTTACACACATGGTCATAATGTATATGAAATTATAGTATTGTGCATTGCTCTCCAAATTAAAATGTTACCTTGACTAATAGGGTGAGACATAAATGTTTCAGTTCCTCATAATATCAGCTACATTGACTATGTTGACTTTATCAAAGTTGTAAAAAGATCTTTAAGGATACCTATTTAAAAGTCAGTGTCTTGTGTATCAGTTATTATGAATGATTACATGTAGCTATATATGCTTCCTGGTTTTTAAGTTTTCCAACCTTTGCATTAGAAACTGAATGTTTTCAGATCCCTCCCAACTGAATTTGAAAGTACTGAAGTTAGCTTGGGTAGAGTTTTACTGGTCTTCTCATGCTGCAAAATAATCAAGGAAGCTATTCTGTAGATATGACATTTCAAGAGGAAATAGATTTCATTCTGCTTTGATATCTAACCTTGGTAAACTCTGTTCCAAATAGCTCCTTTGTTTAGATAAATACCAGCTTTTGTTATGAGCTGTATCTAATAGAGGAAAATACCAAAACCACACAGATCTAGAAAGGGAAGCTCAATGTTGCACTGTCCCTAGAAAACAGTTTGGATGACGTAGAAAAGCAACTTCAGAGTATCCTGAAGCCTTGCCAAAACTATTCTTAGTTTGAATATATCTTCACCATTTAGAATAATCTGTTCATTTCAAGAGTTTCTAGTAAGGTCCCATAAATAGTATGTTGTTGTTGTCATGATGTTTCATGTAAAGATGTTTACATTTTGATTAACATCAACACAAAAATGTTTCCAGAGTACCTTCTTTACTAATTCTCCTCAAAAATATTTAGATTTTACAACATTTTGTTTTTCCAATTTATGTTGTTGTTCTGTAACATTTTATGTGTGTTTTCATTTCATTTGTGTAGGTTTGTTGTTATGATAAATACTACAATGCTTTGATTTTCCTGTATGTTGTTGGTCTGTAACGTTTCATATGATACTCTGTTTAATTTTCTGTAGGTGCATTATTATGAAGATGGTAATGTTCAGCTGGTGAGCCATAAAGACATACAAGATTCTCTAACAGTGTCTGTAAGTGAACTTTTAAAGAAACTTAATCCATATATTGAAGTGACTTTTCCATTTAAGAAGAAAAAGCAAGATGAAAAAAGGCTCAGAAGTTGGGATGCGAGTTTGCTCTTTTGCATGAATGGCAATTAATGTTCTAATTTTTAAATTGTGTGTGTGTAACATTTACTACTTCTACCTAACGTATAGTTATTGTTTAAAAGGAAAAAAAACCAAACCCCAAAACCTCAATATATGACTGCATGTGGCTTATATAAATTAAATTAACTTTGATTGTAAATCTGTAATTAGCTTCCTGTCAGTCTTTCTGCACTGTTGTATTTAAACTTTTGTAGGTGTGCAGAATGACCTATAAAATTATTTTTTTTATATGAAGAAGGTTTGAGTTATAACAACCCACTTACATAGTACAATAGGAGATTCTCCTTTGCTTCACTGGGAGAAGACCAGTATGCTAAAATTAGTAAACAAGTGATACCAATTGGTGAGTACTCCCCCCTTCATTTCCTCCCTGTCTGTAACTGGTGCTGTCAGCCTCTTGCTTTTCTATACAAAAAGCCCTTTCAGAGATGCTTCAGCTTGAGACAGCTTGAGAAGCATAACACGCTTTATATTTAAAGCATCTTTTTTTTGTCTTTTTCCAACTTCATTCCAAATGGATATGTGAGGAGCAGGCAGTGGAAGTAAAAATTGTTTGAAACCAGTATGAGATATATTCTTCAAGAGTTGGTAATGTGGTAATATGAACAACTACTGCTTTTGAAGTAATGCTCCTCTTGCCTGCTGGAGATTGTGTTTATAAACAGGGAGATTTTCTGTTGGAGTGTTCTGTAATAAAACTTAAGCTGGTGAGGTCAAACTGGCAGAGGGCATTTGTAAAAGTGAACAGTAGAAATGTTTAAAAGATAATAACTAGCCATGACCAATTTGGCTGAAAAGCTCAACTCATCAATAAAGAATACTGTTTGCTAATATAAAGCAAGGCTTGTTGGCTTTTCAGTTGCAATAGCAACACAAAGAATGGGGGTGGTGGTGCCAACTGATAACGCTCCTGGAGCTCTAGGTATAAAATTACTTTTGATCCCCTAAGTGCAGGGATCTGTTTAGTCCATCATTCAACTAAAAGTTGCTTCAGGGAAGATATGTGGAAGAAGTTCCCCTTTCAATAGCTTTTGCTTCAGTTTCTATTGGGAAATAATTTAATCCTATTCTGCAATTTAACAAAGCAGCAGAAGACCGATAAGTAGGAAAACATCTTTTATCTAACTTTCCTACCTTCTGTTAAAACAAAAGTAAGTATGCTGCTGATTGCTAATTTTTAGCCTTGATTTTGAGCTTCATAGAGGGCAGAGGTTGCACACATTCTTACTTCACACAGAAGGAATGGTAGGTAGATTAAAAGGAGACTGAATGACTGTTCTTTTTTTTTGTTTGGCAGAGAAGCAGTTTTATACCATTAGTGTTTGCAACTGAAATAAATGACTGAAGAGATCCGTTATAGCTAGAGCTATGAATAATTTTGCTGAAGGTTACTTTCTTATCCCTAGTTTGTCTCTGAGCCAAATAAGACTTCATACCCCTGAATTCTTCCTTTTGTGAGCAGAGCCTTTGAATTCATTGCCTCAGTTCACTGAAAAGTCAAAGCACTTTCATTCATTCTACTTGGTCTCTAACTTCTTTATGTCTTTCTGTGGTGTATAGGAGCACTTTCACAGCTGCTAGGTGCAGTTTCACTGGAACTTTGAACCAGTTGTAATTGAAGCTGCCACAGTTTTTCCCAGTCTTTACCTTTGTAGGAGGGAGGGATCACATGGGGCAAGAACACTCCTAACTTTCAGCAGCTTCTGCAGAAAGCACCCTTAGGAATGTCTCTAACACCAAGTTGGAAGTCTTGAAATTCATGAACCCTCACTTCCTTCTTGAGACTTCTTTCAAGCACTTCAGTTAATTTGTCTCCAGATTGACTGATGGGTCATTTTTTATTTTCAAAACAAACACACACTTGCATACTTAAGGGTGAGACCTGAAGCCAAGGAAGTGTTTATCAGTCGTACTGAATTTTGGACATTGTGGTATGTGGCACCCTCATTTGTGCAAAATGTACTTGAGGATGTTTTTAGAAGTCTAGGTATATAATGTCAAGTGTTTGCCTCTGTTTAGTCTTCGGATTCAGAATGTGTAGAGGTGAACAATTTGTGTTGATTTTTTGGTTTCATTCTGCATACTTCTGGGTTAGATGATGGTCTCTTAAGTTTTCCTGAATTTCTACTGGAAATTTAATATTGATAATGTTAATACTTATACTTTGCATGTTTTTAGAGATCTGTGTGTGTACATGGTCATACTTCCAGATGTTATTCTGGTCCACATGTCTTTTTGTCATGACATAGAATTTTAAATCGGAATATACTAATGAGCTCCATGGTAATCTTTATGCACGTTGCCATTCAATTGTTTTTATGTGGCATGTGCCTTTTGGATAAATGTTTTGTTCAGTTTTGGTATAGCCACTAAATGGTTGTGTCTACCTGGAGTCTACCTGACATCACTCATAACTACAGAAAAAAACATAATCCACATGCTCTTAGGAACGTGCTGTACATCAGACCTCATTCAGGTATGCTGTTTTGGGGTTTTTTTTTTTCTAGAATGAAGCCCAGACAGCAAAGGAATTTATAAAAATCGTGGAGGCCGCAGAAAACGAATATCAGGTATGTTGGAAACAGAAACTATATCCTTACTCGCATGTATAACATTACCATATACTTAACCAAGCTAGTATTCTATAATTAGCAAGCTTATGATACCAAGATAAAGCAGTTCCTTCAAAATATAAACAGATTATATGCTGCTGTTAAACTGTATCCTCCTTTTTCATATTTTCTGGTGATTGCAGTCACCTACTTAAAGCAACATTGAGTTTTTTGAGAGCAGGAAAGTCCCTGGCATAATCAAATATCAGCAATTCTGAGCTCTTTCAGTATTAATGTATTCCTGAAGTGGAATTTTTGTACAGATTCTATTTAGAATCTGTTAGACAGCTTTGCTAAGTATAATCCATTTCAATTAGTTATTTTAAAGTTAGCAAAGTGTAACTGTTCTAGATATCCTCTGTAGATGTCAGTTCGTTTAGCTCTTGAGCATAAGGTAAATTTCAGATGCCGTGTTCTATTGGTTTATGAAAAATGCTCTTTAATAAAAATTTACTATGCATGTATTATATGTATTGTATTCAAGTTCATACGATATTGTGGACTGACCCAACTATTGCCACAGAAAAAGCAGTGGAAGACTTTGGTGTCTGAAATTAATGATGTATGAGCTAACTGATCAGCAGTTCATTCATGCTGATGTGGTTTGCTGAAGCCCTTAGTCTACAGCCGTGTTTATTGCAGCTGTCTCACTGATTTTCTTCACATAGTTTCAGTCTAGATCTAGCAGCTTTCCTTCATAACATATTATTTTAATGTAGAATATTTTTATTAAGCCTTTTTAAGAGGTAACAAGACTACTCAGTCATTCAACTTCTTCTATAACATCCTGTTCTTGATGTGTCTTTATTTTGTATGACTTCAACAGACTGCTATCAGTGAGAATTATCAGACTATGTCGGACACTACTTTCAAGGCCTTACGTCGACAATTGCCAGTTACCCGCACCAAGATTGACTGGAACAAGATCCTTAGCTATAAGATTGGAAAAGAGATGCAAAATGCTTAAAGTGAACGTTGCATGACTGGATCATTTTAGTGTCCTTGTATACAAATAAGAATTATTACAAAAAGTATTTGGAACTGTCAGATCACCCAGTCAGCATGGGCTTTTGCCATTGAAAGTCACTGTAAGTAGTTTGGTTAGAGCACAAAGCTTAGCTAATTGACTTTCTTCCTTTTTCTTTCTTTTCAGAGGGTTGCAGCTTCATTGTAGCTGAATATTTTCCTTTAGAGTTTCTGTTGTACCTTTATTTTTTTATAATGAAGAGACCATGCCTTTAGTTTTCAATTGCAAGTTAAGAACAGTTTGGAAAAATATTTTTGCATATGATGACCCTTTCTCTTGCTTTCATGTGAAATGGACAACTTTCAAAATCTGCTGGATTCTTTGTGAAGATCAGTAACATGCATTTCTAGGTCAAGGTCAACATGGAGTGTTGTAGGTGCTCTTTTTGAAATCGTGTATCCTTTCATTGTATGTAAAATTGGGAAAAGCATTTTCTGTGTCATTTAAACCTTCAGAATACTTATTTGGCTCCGTGGTAACTAAATTCTTTTTTCTTTTTTTTAAAGAAAAGGGCAAGTTCTAACACTGTTTTAATATTTCAAAATTAAATAAAAGTACTTATTTCAGAAATGCATTTAATGCTTTGTATCTGACAATTAAATGAGCTCAAACTCTGTCTGCCCTTGAGGTTTCTCTATCATAAGCCACAAATGTATTATAACAAGGCATATTGTAATATATAACCCTGTACTCCTTGCTGTGTCTGTCAGTTTATTTTTTTCTTGGATTGAAATGTACTAAAATTCAATGTGACATTAAAATGCAAATTTTCTATTTATTTGAGTATCAGATTGCTTTCTGATATAGCCTAATTTTGGTGTTTGTATGTATTTTTTTCTTTTTAAGATACTGCTTAAAACAGCCACAAACTTGTGGCTTTTTAGCTATTCTCAGTGTATTTGGAGATTGTTGTAATATCATCATCCATTGTTTCCATCTGCATTTAAGAAACATCAACATATGGAAGTCTACTTAAAACAGGTATATTTTAGCTTCATACTGGCCACAGAGGATGGAAGAAATTACAAAAAGAAAAACAGTATATTTGTCTCGGAATACTTTCCCTGTCTGATATATCTTGTATTGAAAATGGATGTCAGGTATCTAAAAACAGGGACTTCATTACAAATGTTGTATAACACTTTCATGAAATGCATAGATTTCATTTTTAATTGGATGAAAACCTGTTTTAAATCATGCTGCCTAATTATATTGCTCATGATACATAAGCTTATGATGGAAAATTAAACAGCTTCTGTATTTTTTTAGAAAGGCAGGTATTTATGCACACTCCTAAACCAGTAATGCTTACACAAAGGTTTCATATCTTTGTTTGCAGCATGATACAATTAACTAATCTGTTAAGTTATAGCATAGCAAGAGAGAGCCTGGGCTTGTATAAAAACATACACACAGAACTGTTTACCATATGAATTGTAATAACAATACCCCTATATGATGATCTTCAGTGCTTTCTTATAAAGGGGTATAGAACTAACTGAAGTTCTTGACATTGCTGCTACTTTACAGTACTCAGCTGTATAGTAGAAGAGTGGGATTTGTTCTACCGCAGTCTTCCTGGAGAGTTGCCCTCTTAATTGTCTCCACAGATCAGCTTTTAATCATGTTGTTCTTTAAAAGAAGGCTTTTAACAGTTGTATATGAGCTAGTAACATGCGGAGTCGCTGTCAAGTCAGTCTGTCAGTCTTAAGAAAGATCTAAATATACACCTTGTTTGAAGAATTTCTTCAACATATTTAAGAACAAGCTAAAAATTAAAGGCAATGAATGGTCAGTTAAGAGAACTGTTACTGGGCAACAACTGTGCAAATAACTTTTCTAGCTGTTTTTATTGTGTATGACCGGAATCAGCACTGGCTAAAAGTCAGAATGCTATTTTTCTTACCTGAAATAAAAAGCTAGTTTTAAATATATTCCTAATAAAGAGGTATTTTACTGTGAAGTACTCTATTATTCTGTTCTCTTTTCTTTCAGTCTTGTGATAGTCTTAATGCTGTATCTTCAAAGAATAGTATCCTACAGGTTCTGTTCTACCAGTAGGGTGACATAAGTAGATTTGTATTACTTACATTTTTTTCCTGTTGTGTTAATTTTTAGTCTGTGAGATGATTTTACACCTTGAACATCAAATTTATTAAGTTATAGCTTCAATAAAGCAATTTATAAGTAAATAACTACTCTGTTACTTTTTTGAGGTGGTATGTTGCATCATATTTAGGGGTAACGACTCCCCAGCTGAAGCTGACCTGAGTATCAGCTCAGGCACATGACATATTTGGAGTTCTTGATGTCTCTCAAATATTTTGGATGTTCGTGCTCTTTCCTTTTGTTTCTACTCTACCCCTTTTAAACTGGCTTGCTTGGTAGGCTTCATGGTACTGTGTGTAGGTAAAGCACTTCCTCTGAGAAATAGTGCTGTGGCAATTATCTTAATGTGAATTACTGTTTGTTTATACTCTATTTTAAATACAAATATAAGCTTTGTATTGTGGAATCCTGTACTGGACATTACGTCTTGTAATATGGGCTTGTAAAATTCTTGAGTTTATGAGGTGTATTATGTCTTACGCATCTCAGTGCCCTTTTATACAAAGGAATTGTAACTTCTGCAAGTAGTTTTAAACTTCTTTGTGAACATTGGCAAGGGGAGTGGCAGTTCGGCTTTCAGGTTCTCCCAAGCCACCCCTTTTTGTATGTCTGTCTTAAAATTCATACTGCAGGTAGAATGAAACTTTAAAATCATTGTAGTTTTGATTACACCACTACTGCTTCTTATGCTCTACATGCTGGTAACAATTCTGCTGGCTGATTCAGGTGGAACACTGTAACGCAGTTCATTAGTGAATGGTCATTTGGTCCAGGGTTAATGGAGTTGTGCGAGGCTGAACATCCTGATAGATGTGTTTTCTTTAGGGGATGACTACAGCTGCACCTATGGCAGTGATGTAGTTTGTGTAGTTTGTATTAAATCCCTCTCTCATCCCATTTCCCCATGGTAGTTCGGCTGACAAAGCAGCTTTGGTACTCTCAAGTTCGCTTCCTTCTGGGAACCTGGGAGCTGGGCTCTCAGCATGTGCCAGATTCCCTCCAGCTCCAAATGGTTATGTGACTCCAGAGCAGAGGTTTCCTTCAGGCAGCTTGAGAGCATTTATGTGTTGAGGACATCTGGAGGAAAAGAATAAACCTGGTCTTCAAATTTCCAGGCTGTATATACTATAGACATAGAGGTTGAACATCAACTGTTGATTGTGTGGGTTCACCCCTGTTGTGCTGAATTACTTGGTGACGCAGGCACAGCTTCTGCCACATTTGTTTACTGGAAAGACTGAAACTGTTCTTTCTCTGGTGCAACTGTAAACTAGGTTTAGATGAAACTTAGCTTGTTCATACCCATGAAGTGTCAATTTTTGTGTGACAAGGTCAACTAAGAACTCTTTTTGAAAGGGAAAAATTTGCATCATTGTTTTTTCCCATAGTTAAAGAAGGGAGCTGTGAATATGTACTTTATTCTTTCTGTGAGAATGAGTGCTTAACACTTTGTAGGTTTATTTACTAGCAATATTTTCATTCTGCTACTGTGATTGGCTGTCCTGTAACAGGTATTGTGTTGAAATAACTTCCACATTAATTTGGGAATTAGGGAAAGAGGCTTGGAAAAAGAGTAAGTTAATTACAAAATAAATAAATATTCCAAAGATAAACAGGTTTTTTTAATACATCTGCAACTTTGCTGTGACACTTAATAGCTGTGTGAGCAACTGGAGTAGAAATCTGAGCTTCAAGAGCCATTAGCAGTTTTAAACTAAGCAGGAAGAAAAATCTGCTTCCTTCTTTCCTTTGACACGATGCTGCATTGTTAAATCAGCTTTCAGAAGCTGCAGAACTGGTCAGCTGTGCAAGCCTTTCAGTTAGTTGTAAAAAATAGGAACATGGGGTAGCAAAATCACGACTGGCCAAGAGCAGTTGTGGTTGGAAGATTTCTGAACAATAATGACAGTGGAACTCTTGAAATGCTTGAATGGCTGCTCTGAAAGTAATTGTTAGAGATTACCCTTCTCCAAGTTCTTGTAGGGCTTTGGTATTACTAGTATAAAAGTAGATATTAGGAAACACTAAGTTTTGCTGGATCTTAACTTCTTTTTATCTTAGCAGTGGGCATATAGAACAGTTTGCTCCCATTTTCTTTGCAACACATTTTATGTATTTGAAGAGCTTCTCCAGACTGTGTGGCTTTTACAGTAAAGACTGAATCCAGCAACTCTGATTTCTGTATGAAATCCAGTACTTTTAAGTTATCACTCTACATCCTGCTTTTTGATTTCTGATCATTTTTAGAAGCTTGATTTTTCTCTGCATACTGTTCATTTTGGTCCTCCATGTTATTGCAGACTATCCTGATATTAACATAGTGCTTGGATTTCCTTTTGCCAGAATCTGACCTTGTGTGTTATAATATTCTCTAGCATTGTTTTCAATAGCAGTTAGAAGAATTTTAAAGCCTATGCCATAGTAAGGGGGGTTGGGGGTAACCAACCAAGGAAGTACTGCTAGGTATGTGTACCTGATGTTACCCTTCTCCATTGACAAAGCGGGCACTGAGAGTGTACAAAAATGAGACTGTTTTCTATCCTAATAATATGGACCAGCCAGCAAACAGATTCTGAGCTAAGCACATCCTGGCATAAAGGGTCAGGGGCTGCTGTGAACTTCTCCAAATAATGAGCTGGATCCTTGTTATCTGGAATGTTTGTGCCAACAACGGGCAGTTTGTTTAGCAGTACCTTGTAGGCACTGATGTCAGTCAAAACTGAGGCAGTGGAATGCACCACTCTTTCTTGGGCTAAGAAGCGCAGAATATGCTTTTTTCCTACCTTTTTTTCTCTTTGGAGGAAAAGGGATCAGTGATCAGAGTTGACAAGGCAGCCTGAGCTAGGGCTCCAGAAGAACTTGTCCTGTTTTCAAAAGCACTGAGGCAGTCTTACGTCCCCTGCCATGCACTGGTGCAGACTGGATGGTAACTGGTGTAACATCCATGCAAGCATTTCTCATGTGTCCCAATAGTTCCATGTGTACAGATAGGTGGTATCCTTCACCAAGTTAGCCGAAACTTCTTACAGGGTACCAGAAAAGCCTGTGTCATTCAAGAGCCTGTTTAAAGTTCCTGTAGGCATGTACTGAGCATGAAGAGTCCTTCAGCTGTCGCAGATGCTAGGAGCCAGCTCAATTGCAGAAGACTAGGCCTGAGAGATGCTGCTAAGAAAGTAAATGCCATATGCTCATGAAGAGTTGGGAAGTGCTGCTCCTGTTCCAGGTCTTTGCTGCAATGCAAAGGCTACTACAAAACTGATTTCTCTGAGTGCGGAAGAATCCATTATAAAGTCAGTAATGAGTATGTGTCCTGTCCCACTTGGTTACTAAACCTAGTGAGCCATCATTTTACATTTAAGAACTTGTCTGCCTCTCCTTAGCTTCTTCAGCTGGATACTGTGTGCTTTGCAGATGGTGTGACCAGAGTTACTTACCTGAATGTAAATGAAGAAGGTAGACTGTGCCAGCACATAATTTCCCAAAGACTAAAACCAGCTACCTGATACCTCACCTTCCTGATAAGATCATTCCAGAAATAGTAAAGTTGCTACCAAAATTGTAGCTGATGGTGCAGTGTGGTAATCCAGTGCCTCAAAACACAGAGGATGACAAGGCTGAGAAACAGGGTGGTACCACATGCAACCTTGGCAATCCCACAACCAAGGATTATTGTTCTAGGAAAAATCAAAGTTGCCAAAAAGTAAAGGACCCAGTGGAAAAAGGTGCCAAGGTTATCTCTGACAGTGGATTTTCAGTGCAGATGATGGGTTTGCTGTATCACATGGTGATGAAAACATTCAGCCGCAACCATTATTATGTTCTTTGCTCAGAATCTCTCATGGTCTGCTCAAGAAATTGTAAGGAAAAAAGCCTTCGATATTGCTCTTTGTGCCTGCCAGCAAGGTTAGGAAATACTGAGGAGAAAGAATGGAAGTGTATGGGGGAAGCTCCCTGCTTGCCCATCACGGTTTTCATCTTGTCCTTCCCTGCTGCTGTGCAAAGTTGTCAGCAGGATGAAGAGAACCTGGCTTCTTCAGCTGCAGTGATTGTCTCAACAGAAAGTGAAGTGAGCCAAATGTACATGTGGATTCCTTGGATGCGTGTTTCTCTGGAATCAAGATGGGACAGAATTCCTGCTGGAGCAGGAAGGTATGCCATTAAAACCAGTTAGCTGGAGCAGACTTGGGCTAGCCTGTAGGAGAAGAGTTCCTAAGGATTTAAAATCTCCTGAGCATAGAAGATAAAGCACAAAATAGAGAAAGATTTGGGGAACAGCCTGTATCTAAAGATGGAAAAGGCCAAACAGCTAATTTTCCAAGGAGTTTTGAGGGAAGAATACACAAATGTCTTGAGGAAAAGGAATGAGAAAAGCAGAAGAAACTCTGCTCTTATTTCTGAAAATGGCTGAATAGTAGAAGCAGGAATTAAAATGAGTCCTGTTCCTAAGGGACAGTGTTTCAGAAGGGCAGGGTACAATGGGAAGGGAAGGAATTGAAAGCCACTCCGATAGCCATTACCTGCATGAATTGCCCTTGCTGGCATGCAGAGGCCCCTGATGCTCAGCAAGCCTCTGTCGCGCCTATCATGGGAGGCTGCAAGTGACCTTGAGTGGTCACCATTTGGCAAGGAGAACACGTCTGAGAGAAAGAGCTTTTTAGAAACACTGGCCTCTTACAAGTCTGTATCTGTATAAAGCTCTGGTGCAAGTGTCACTGTGCTCCATTTGTGTATTCAGAGCCACTGCACAGCATTTTGGTGCTAGAACTGAACCTGCTGCTCTGACTTTGGTGCTTTCTCACAGCCACTGCAGCACTTGGTTCTCCCTGCAGCTGCAGAGCCACCGCTCTTTCCCCATGCAGCAG